AGCTGTTGCGAAGCGGCGAAATAACACTGATGAATCAACATCGAACGACAGGGGATACAATAGTTATTTATATCTAACAATTCCATTGATATTCGAACTTCGCGATATCCTCGCGCTTCACTTTCCGCGCAGAAAGCACGAAGCACGATCGAATTAACTATACAAACGACGACAGAAGATACCGGTATCGAGCCCGAGGTCCGCCAAGTGGAAAATTGAGTACAAGTGGGCGGGAACTGCATTACCTAGGGGTAAGTAGGTCCCGGTAAGGTTTGAGAAACTGTTGGAATATTAATTTACCCTCGGCGAATACGCGAGTATTCTCCACGGCTGCAATCCTCTTACGGCATTACAGCCCCTAAGTCCCTTTGGAAAAGGAGAAAATCGATCGCGTCCAGAACGGTCGAAAAGAAGAAAATTCTTAGCACTATGTGACGGACGGTGGTATGAAAAATTCTGGCTGCTTTCGCGTTGCGCCGACCCTTCAAGAGAATTGTAGGTGGCGCGACAGTGGGCTTCCCTTGGAAGTTTTTAGGTTAGGACAAGCTCCTCGAGGAGAGTCGAAGAAAAATTGATGGCGTTCTGGCTCGATGAAAACGGGGGAAGGAAATTTCGCGCTGGTGAATGAATGAATGAAACGGTAAGGTCACTCTCCGGACCGTGATAAATTTCTAAACGAGCAAGTAGGGGTAGATTCGTCGCGGACGTTGAGTTTTCGAGGAACTGGAAGAGGAATTGACTTCGAAGTCCAGATCTGCAGCCAGAGATAGCTGCTAGCGGATTTTTATTCATTTATGAGAAACTTCAGGCCACTGGAGCGTGCAAAAGTATATAAAATAATGTACTGTGATATTTTAATTAAGTACAATATATTATAGTTATCGTAATAAAATCTACGTGTAATAAGTCAAATTTATTCCAATCCTCCCAGGTTTCATTTCTTCAGTTGTATTCGTAAATGTTCAAAAGCACGGAAGAATCGCAGTGCAAGTATTCATAGATCGTGATTTGGGACATTTGAAGTTATGAATTTATACAATGCACATATGAACACATATAGTACGCATATAACACTGTATGTAACATATAAAACATAAAACTTTTTTTTCTATTGCCTAATATAAATTAAAAAACATATAAAAGATATGAAATGTACAAAATATTAACAAATACAGTATTCTTTTCTTAATTACGTTAAAAAAAAATATAAATCTGAATAAACATTTAATTTACAGTTTTACATTAAAATGAAACGATTTGTTTCTGAATCGCCTGTTTTGGATACTTTGAATTAAACAGCATTTTACAAATTTCTCCACGATATGTCAATATAATTTATTAATTAACAGGGGGATGAACATTTTCAGATGAGAATAACTTGGAAATAAGTGGAGGTAAAATAATGATCTTCTACGAAGAAAGCATTCGTGTTGTTGGTGAGTGACTGGAGGATATCGAGGAAGCGGAGTAAAATTTGCCGAACTTTCGCTCGAGTTTCAGATCTTGTAATGAGACAAACTTCGCGTGAGTGACATAATACACATAAACTTCGCGGAGAATGAACTTTAATATATCGCTTTGTCTTACATTCCGAAGATGTACGTGCTAAAACGAAAGTTTCGTTAAGCATAGCAACTGCGCGCTCGGGAGTCAAACTGTTAGGTTGTTGCATGCGAAATGTCCGGTTTGACGAACTGTGTAGAATTATTATTGCGAATTAAATTGAATAACTAAAAATACTGTTCAATAATACTTGCTTGAATTTTTTTCAATCTCAGTCTCATTATAAGAAGATAAGGTCATCATAAAATTTGGAAACTTCAACTTGACGAAGTAAAAATTGCTTGTACATTGAGAAAAGATAAAAATATAGATCAATGTGTAAAATTTAAAATGGAAAAACACAGACATGAAAAATGAACGAAGAAATCACTAATTGAATTGCCATATGATGTTCATCACTTTGCGATAAAACTACATAAAGTATTAAATCAATCTCTTAAATAATTGTTGATCTTCGTTCACGATCGATTGATGATAAATATTGCCATGCTTTTTATAATTCATTATCTTTCGAGTTTTCCAATCCAATTTTTGAAAATTTCATCATTTTAAACTGGACTCTAAAAAAAAAAGAAAAAAAAAGAAATCATATCATTTGTGAAATGGTCAAGAAACGATTAATCTCCTTTCAGTTTCCTGTGAAAAGGTAAACTTGGCTGAAAAATATCAGCCAGCGGAAAGTTCAAACGACAAGTTGAAAGGTCGTGGTGAACATGGAGGATCGAATATCGTCGTGTAAATAAGAAACGCGAGGGGGTATGGGGCAGAAGAAACGCCAAAGCCTCGAGTGTCCTTCACCATGGGAGGATCGAAGATTGAAGGATGAAAAAAAGCTAACGAATTAAAGCGATCTGAAGAGCGGCGCTTCTTGCCGGAAGCTCTTCCACTCCGGATGAAAGCTGTGCCCGATATCTCCACTTATTATTAAGCATCTTGACCGAAGCGTCGATGAAAGTTCGCAAAATCGTTTTTCCAGAGAAAGTAAGAAAGCAAAAAAGGAAATTCAAGTAGAACACTCGATGAATTATCAAAATCGATTGTCTCGGAAACGAAGTCTAGCAACGAAGAAATTTTATTTTCCCTTCGCTTGTCTTCTCATTTTACAATTTCACCGCCGGAAGCTTCCTTCAATATTCATGAAAAGTTCCTACAAGTGTACCAAAATTTTCGCGGGTAATTGTATGCCACCATAGCCACGATGGAATCGACTGTTCGACACGACGAAAAATTCCGCACTAACCGGTTAAAATTTAGTCCTGACCTCTGTGGCAGCCTCGTTTCATTAACCTGCTCGAATTATGAATAGCCAGCGGTTCGATCGGGACGGAATTACGTTTCATTAATTAAATAGCTGTTTGGCCGAGAGTGAGCCCCAGGCTATACCCTTCTCTCCCCCCCCCCTCCTCCCACACCCCCGGAGAAATCGTAATTTCGAGTCAAGGCACGAACTTCGCCGGAGCAATTAATTTCCTCCAAGTTTACACCGCGTCGCATCTCCACGAGTGTGTACAACGTTCCGCTTTTATCTATCTGGCAGTGACGACGCTGAACTTTTCTGATTCTCCACGAGGATCTTCTCTCGCCCCATTCAGAGATAGAGAAAGCATCTTTTTCATTGATTTACGGTTGCGCCGGTGATGGACGAATCGCCGAATCGTTTCGACCCGGTAAACGATGAACGTGCACAGCTCCTTAACATGTCGAACTTGCTCTCTCTTTTTCTCAATTGAAATTTCGTGCCAAAGGAGAGAGAGAGAGAGAGAGAGAGAGAGCAGAAAGAGCTTTCGAGTACGTCTAGAGTGTTACATCATGAAAAGAAGAATTTCAGCTGGCAAGAAAAGCATCTTAACCGGATTCCCAGATTGGTTTTTCGAATTTTATCAACGTAATCGTTAATGAAGCTTCTCACGAAAGTATTACACTTGTAATAAAAGATATAGCGTGTGTAATGTAAAACGACTGTCACAGTTACATTGACCAAGCTTCGAACAAGTCAAAAAATAAGCACAGAAATTATTTCATACTTAAGAGACCATCTCTAACATTCATTGTTCACAATGTATATTAACATTTTACTAAATATTATGTTTGTAATAAATAAATGCAACGTTTATATATATTTTTAGACTGATTTCAAGTCATAATGTTTACGTTTCATTACCCTGTTAAGAAAATTTTCGAAATTTTATTTTACGTGATGTTAAATGTAATGCTTCGTGGTAAGTGTTCGAATATTTCCCTGAGCCACTACATTACACGATGCATTACTATTACATGACATACTTCGTTGTCACAAGTTAACGCATACTTTAACATTTCCCTCATTAAGTATATGTACTCATACCAAATATATCATATATACTCGTTTCAACGAAAAAGTAAAAAGGCTAAAAGAGGTTAAGAAACGAATACATTCGGATGCTTCTTCGACTAGGTTTTTCCATCCGGTGTTTCCTGCGACATCGTAGAGTGCGGCCAATATTTCTATTGCCGCGGATATATCGCGATATTGCCTTCGATCGGTCGACCGAGGAAACACAGCCGCGCGGCTGCCAGTGGAAAGGTATTGCACCGGAGACTGTTGAAAAAATGATTAGGTTTTCCAATTACGCCACCCTACGTCGACAGCAATTTTCAGTAGCCTGCCCCTTTTTGTAAGAAAATTTCTCCCGCTGTTCGTTACCAGGCATATTCTTCTGCTATATTACTCCGCTCGCGAAATTGCGAACCATGAAAATCGAGGAGAAATCGTTCGCGAAGTTTCGTGGCATCGCCATTCGTTTATCGAATTCTGAAAAGTGATCTGTTTGTATATGTGAGAAAAGGTTTTTTGGTTTTCATGCGAAAGAGAATTTTTAATCTTTTATATTTTGCTCACGTAGTATTGAAACGATCTTCTATTAGATTAGGAATTTTACAAACATAAAGACTATTGAATATAATTTTCTCAGGTCAACAATATTGGTTCCTATATTTTAGGTGCAATACATACCGTCAGCTTTTCCGTAGAAATTTCATAGATTTATCGTTTACTAAAAGAGTTTAGACTGGAATCTTTACTACTGGACTGGATTATTTATATTATATTCAGCTATCATATCATATTTCCTCAATCCTCCCCTCCTTAATAATTTTACCGAAGCAAACTACATTCTTTTAAAAAAATATCGTGTCTACAATGTCTGTAATTGCAACTGCAAGAACATCACGAACATTAGAATTACAACTTTGATTTTTAAACGCAACGTTGCGAATTTGAAATGTTCCTTTCCTTCGTGCTGCTAAACTTTTCAACGATACTTAAAGCGCAAATAATAAGAATTACACAACGCGCTCGAGTATCTCCTAGGATAGGAAATAAAGAAATCGAAATGAGACCGCGATGTTCGTACGATTTTGAAACTCTTACATATATATATATTTTATTACGCTCCCGTCTATATATATATATATAATAAAATTTCCAATGTTTGAACATTGGAGGACGATTTTTGCGATTGGCGCGCAAGGCGAGCCACAAAACTCTGGAAAGGGCTGGATCCTCGCCAGAATGGTGGGGGAGGGCATCGAGCCAGTGCGCGAGCTTTATAGATTCCAATCTGACCGTGTGTTCCTTTATACTGAAATGCAAAATGCGAAACATCAACCGGCCGGCCGGGGTCAGAGGGACGAACGGGTTAATAATACAGAGTCCGGCACGTTTCAAAGCGACGCGATAACAATTACCGGTGTGTTCCTTCAGCAAGATATTCGACACGGTACCACGGCTATTGTGCCCGTGGAATTCCCTTCGAAACCCCGCTGCCATGTTGTTGCAATCTGCATGGGAACGCGCAACCCCATGATTCCGGAATTCTCTGTGAAAATTCTTGATACGTATGGGCAGGTGTGGAATAATCTATTTCTGTCACGTTTAATTAATCAATTGTTCCCCAGCTTCGAGATCGTTCCTTCGAAACGTTCGATTCTATTGTAGAATTCTTTCGAAAAATGACACGAAACATATTCGACAACCGCAAATTATTTCCTCATTAGGCACGGCTGAATTTTGCGCGGGCGGGTTTTTCTGTACGGCAGAGTTACATCAACGCGAATTACGTAAATAAACGATACAGCACTGCAATGTGTGATGGACAATGCTGTTCTCTACGCGAGTACATTGGAATGAAGTTTTTGATGATTAAATTATAATTTTTTTTTTAGAAAGATATGATACACATACTTTAAAA